TGGCATAATTAAAGAACAAAACAAAACAAAATGACCCCAAGCCAGGAAAGTGGTGCATGCCTGTAATCCCAGCACTTGGGAGGCTGAGGCAGGAAGATTGCCAAGAGTTCAAGGCCAGCCTGGGCTACCTAGTGAATTCAAGGCCAAGCCCCTGTCTCAAAAAAAAGGAAGGAAAAAAAAGACTATACTGTGCTCAGAAAGTGACCAAAAGGATATAAGCATGTTAAAATGATATAATAGTGTATTTCACCTCAGCTATTATTCTCATGAAATATGTAAAACAAATGTGCTATTGATTAGATTATCTTCCTGTATTTCCTACCCTGTGCTATTTCTAGCTTTCTCTCAATACTCTATTTTATAAACCTTGGTATTTTTCCACTCATTAATTGATCTAAAAAGTTTATAGAGCACAGACTACTGTCAAGCACTCAGTTCTTTAACATTTCAATTTAAAAAGACTGGTTAATTCTCAAGTCATTTTTTTCCCCACTAAAAGCAAAAGCAGTAAGTTAAAATAGACGAAACTGAGAAGACTCTGCCTCAATGAGATTTGCCCACGGTCAATTTGGCATTCATGGATTGGCCACCCACCAACTCCAAGCCCACTCTTTTTTTTTTTGTTTCCCTTTGATTCCAGGTAGCAGAAAATCTGACCAACCAACCTACCTGATCATGGATGAGGCCAATGCCCCAGGAGAAAAGATAACCCCTCAAAATCTATAGCTCCAGGGAGAAATATGAGTCTGGTCAGCAACACAAGTTCAAAGAAAAGCCCACATCTATTGTAAACTACAAAAATAATGTGGGGTTTCACTACAAAAATGACTCCTTTATGCCAGACTACAGTCAGAAAAGAAACCCAGTACAGTGTCTAGGTTTATATATTTCCACATGTTACTTAATCAGGCTCCATTTGAGGAAGTTAATATTAAGACAAAGCCACACAACAACCACTGAACTGCACTTCCAAGATTGACAGTGTTAAATAACCCCTCCCTGCAATGACTGAGTGAGAGACAGGCAAGGAAGAGAGCTGCAGAGAAGGTGCAGGGTAGGCAGAGACTTCTTGAGAAGTTTAAATTCAGGTGAGGAAGGACACTAGCCCCAGTGAGAAACCAGGCACAGCCGATGTGCCTTACAGAGGAGGCTACCTCTGAAGGTATTGGCATTAAGTCCAACCGTCTGTTTGAATCCCTGCTACATCTAGCAGAAACCAAGAGGCCTGACTGCTTTTCCCCTTTACCAATACGAACAAGGACATGCCTTGGCTTGAATTAGTTGCCACAGTCTGGGATGTATGGACAGAGAGGACCCTGGATCTGGGACAGCACATCATAAATGCACACAGAACAAAGCTAGCCATAAAAAAACTGAAACTTGTTGGATTTCAAGACTACAGACCCTGGAAAAAACCACTCATTCAAAAACAGAAGAATTGTGGGGTTTTTTTTTCACTTTTTAATTGACTCAGTTTTTTTGGTTTTTTTCTTCATTGATTTTTTTTTAGGGGGCTTGGGTTTTTTTTTCCTCTTTTCTTTTAAATAATGTAATCACAGGAATGAGTAAGTACATTTCAGTAATAGCTCTCAATATGAATAGCCTCAATTCCCCAATCGTAAGGCACAGATTGGTCAAACAGATTAAGAAACAAAATCCAAAACAATAGGCTGTACAAAAGAAACACATTTAACTCAGAAAGAATTCATAAACTAAAACTCAAAGGCTGGAAAACAATATTCCATGTAACAGAACACCAAAAACAAAAAGGAGCAGTTATCTTGTTTTCAGATAAAGCAGACTTCAAGGCAAAACTGCTCAGAAGAGGCGAAGAAGGTCACTCATATTCTTTAAGGGAACAATTCAACAGAAAAAGATAATAATTATAAATACATATGCACCAAGCAACAGCATACCTAACTTCATAAAACAAACACTATTGAACCTAAAAGACCAGATAAACATAAATACAATTATAGTGGGGGACCTCAATACTCCTCTCACACATAGATCAACTGTAAAAAAAAAAAAAAAATCAACAAAGAAATATCAGAGCTGAACAAAACCTAAAAACAAATGGATTTAATGGACATCTACAGTGTTCTGCCCCCTCATAAAATGTACATTCTTCTCAGAAGCAAATAGAACTTTCTCCAAAATAGACCATATAAAAAATATTTTAAAGTATTTTTAAAAGATCATATACTGGCCAAAAAAACATGTTTAAGTAAATATAAAAAAACTGAAATTATACCATCCATATTATCAGATCATAAAGCAATGAAACTAAAAAGCAATGACAAAAGAAACCACAGAAATTATACAACTGTATAGAAATTAAGCAATACCTTTTCAAATAATCAATGGATCTTAGAAGAAATTAAGAAAGAAACAGATAGGTCCTTCAATTAAATAATGCCAGGACAACACATCAGAACTTACAGGACCCAGTGAAAGCAGTCCAAAGAGAGAAGCTGTCAATTCCCACATGAGATAAAAAGAATGAGCAAAAATAAATAATATAATGATGTACCTCAAGGTCGTAGAAAAAAAAGAACAATCCAAGTCCAAAGATAGTATATACAAGGAAGGAAATTATAAAGATAAATAATAGAAAGTAGAGAGAGACAGATCATTCTCAAAGGATATAGGGATTAAGACATAGAAGAAGCCGGGAGAGAGGCAAGGAAAAGAAAATTAACAAAAAAAAGAATTAAGATGTGTTGCACACATGTACCAACTTCCCCCAAGAAATGTACACATTATGTACTACATACCTGTACTAATAAACTATAAAGGAAAAGGAAGCAGGGCACAGTGGCACACACCTGTAATTCTAGCATTCAGGAAACAGGCAGAAGGATCACTGTGAGTTTAAGGCCAACCTGGGCTACACAGTTAGTTCAAGGCCAGTTTAAACTATATAGCTAAACTCTGTCTCAAAGAGCCAAACAAACATGTTTAAAGAAGAGAAAGATCAAAGCAGAAAGCACTGAAATAGAGACTAAAAAAAAAAATACAAAGAATCAATTCATCTAAGAGCTGGTGCTTCAAAAGAGTTAACAAAATTGACAAACCTTTAGCTGATCTTACCAAGAAAAGGAAAGACCTAAATCAGTTGAAATTATAAATGAAAAAGAAGAAATCACAATGGACACTGACGAAATCCAGACTATTGGTAACTACTTTGTAAATCTGTATGCCAATCAATTGGAGAATTTAGAAATGGATAAATTCCTAGATACATATAAATTACCAAAATGAACCAAGAAGATATAAAATCCCTGAATGATCCAATAAAACTGAAGCAGTAATTAAAAAAAAAAAAACCTAACAACTAAGAAAAGCCCAGGATATGATGCATTCACCGTTAAATTCGACAAAGACTTCAGGTAAGATCTAGTGCCGATACTCATTAGAATCTTTAAGAAAGTCAAGAGAGCAAGAGTATTTCCAAACTCATTCCTGGAAGCTAGCATGGCCTTGATTCCAAAACCTGACAAGTATCCAACCAAAAAAGAACTACAGGCCAATTTCTTTAATGAACATAGATTCAAAAATCCTCAACAAGATACTGGCAAACAGAATGCAACAAATCATCAAACAGATCACACACCATGCCCAAGAAGGCTTTATCCCAGAGATGCAAGGATGTTTTGACATACGTAAATCAATAAATGTACTATATCATATAAACAGAAACAAGGACAAAAACTACAGTTAGCTCAATCGATGCAGAAAAAGCTTTTGACAAAAATACAACATCCATTCATGATAAAAATGCTAAAGAAAATAGGTAGAGAAGGACATTATCTCAGGCGGGTAAAAACCATTTATGACAAACCAAAGTAAATGGGAAAAACTGAAAGCCTTCTCTCCAAAATCAGGAATAAGACCAACATATCTGCTATCACCACTCCTATTCAATATAGTACTTGAAACAATAGCCAGAGCAATTTGTCAAGAGAAAGAAACAAAAGGCATAGCTACAGAAAAGGAAGAAGTCAAATTATCGTTATCTGTACATCACATGATTTTTAAAACAAATTGGATATGTCATTAAAGTTTCCACCATAAGAAATCATAAAGGTTTGAAATGACATACACGCTTAATCTGATTGAAACATTAAATATTGAAACACTAATAGGTATCAGTTTTCTGTGTCAGTTTAAAAATGAATTAAGAAAAAAGAAAGTCTGGAAATCTGCCACGAAGGACATAAGGAATCTAAATGTATGCACTGATACCAGGCCCAACAAAGCTCAGTGGCCAAAGGAAAAGGAATGTCACCTTTCCAGGATAAAGACTCACCAAGCAAGCTGAGCATGAAACAAGTTCTTACCACTCTGTAAAATCCACAGTCAAAAATAGATGAGAATTTTTAATTATCAAATAAAGTTATAAAACACCCCAAAAAAAGTACAAAAAATTAATTGTGTAATTTTGAGAGGGTTAAAAACAAAAATAAATGCTTTTCTTTAAATATCCAAATCACAGCCTTTTTAATTTGCTTTACAGAATTGAGAATTTTAACCAAGTTTATAAAGTATAGTGTAACTTCATCTATATAAAGAGAAAGTAAAAAACAACTTGTAAGCTTCTTCAGAGATAATCTAAATTAAAAAGTAACAATTACTTAACAGTACTCTAGAATTACCATACTTTATAACACACTTTATAAAGTGCCACTGGCTTTGAAATAGTATATGTTAATATATCTATTTAAAAGTGGCCTACAATAAGACTCATTAAATCCAGTAATTATAAAAAAAATGGAAATTCAGACAACAGTAAATTGAAGAGTAAAACCTAAATTAAACTGGACCCCCCTGCTCACTGAAGAGTAAATATTGCATTTATTCCTTTCTAGATTAAGATCAACACTTGCTACATCTAACAAAATTAGAATTTATATACACAAAAGTAACAGTGATGCCCAAAAATCGTGCTTATATTTTGAAGCTTTAAAGAAATAAATTTTAAGAAAATATTTCCTCACCTATTATCAGATGGCAGAAGTGAAAGCAAAGCCAAAGCTGAAAGTTTTCTTCTTTCAGGCTGGGTAATGTTGTCCATTCTATCAACCCACATTTCAATCATGTTTCCCAAAAGCTGGTCCATCTGAGAAAAGAGGAGGCACCTCAAAATATTTGAAATTCAATTTCCTCCTAGATAAGTACTATTAAAAGTTTAAGCCTCCTACCTAGTGGATAAAATTCCATTATAGTAAACAACAGAATCGGAATATCTTAATTCTAGGCAATCCTTAAACTGAAAAGAAATAATGTGTGCAAAACCAGAAACTGCCTCTAATTAATTCTGAGCCAAGTGCACTTGTTAAAAAGCTGTATATAGCCTTTGAGTGATTTTAGTAATTTCATTTAATAATTTATCAATAAATGTGGTCATTCTGGTGCATTGAAAAAATGCACACATTTCTCAAAATTGTCCACTTGGACTTAACAGTTTATTCTGTTGAGGGATTCCCATTCAATATTCTACAATTTGCTGGCCTGACTCTACTACTCTCAGAGGACAGGGAAGACTGCAACCTCACCCTGATCAATTTCAAAGAAAAATGAATGTATAATTTACTAGCACATTTACATGGTACATGAATAATAAAGACAAAATGAATCAACCTAAATATTATGGTTTAAGTACAGATGTGCCCTCAAAGCCTCCTGCGGTCACAGGGTTTTTTTCTCTGGAGGTGGCTGAATCTAGAGTGTGTAACTGATTTGTAGAATGCAAGGCTGAGATTAAGGGTAGGTGACTGCTGGATCAGTCCACTGATTGGACTGGCACCGTCCTAATTCCAGTAGACTGTACACAATATAAGGGACGGAAAGAGGCCTGTCTCACTTGCTCTCTCCTGTTGCTACTGTTGTCTTCCTCTGCTACGTATGGTGCCGCTCTGCCATGTGCCACCCTGTCTTGTAGCCAACTATGAACTGAAACCTCTATAAACTGTGAGTTAAATAAACCTTTCCTCCTTGTCTCAGCAATGAGAAAAGTAACACAGTAAATAAAATTAGTGTGAAGATTAATTGTACATGTTGATTCAGCTAGGCTAGGGTGCTCTTCTGTTCAGTCAGAGACTACACCATTTGCTGCAAGAGCACTTGAGGGGGGTGGTTCAGCCAATCAGGTGAAGGCCTTAAAAACAAAAACTGAATTTTTGTATAAAAGAAATTTTGCCTCAAAAGTGCAACATAAAAAATTCTGAGTCTCTAGCCTGCACTACAAAATTCAGATTTGCCAGTCACAACAATCACGTTAGAATCTCCAAAGTAACACATGATTAAATATATCAATCACATCGCTTCTCGGCCTTTTGGCTAAGATCAAGTGTACCAATCACATAGACTAAAAGCAGATCTCACTAAGGTTTCTTTTCTACTTCTAGCACCTCTTTAAAAATACAGTACATTTAATAGCCAAATCTCTACTTTATGGGTTTGGTCATATAAAATCAACTGTATATTCCCCTTCTTTTCTACTTCCTTGTTCTCACACTTTTTCCAAGAAATGCTTCAACATATTAATAGTGAACAGTCAAGAAAGCACTTACTAATTCAGGACCATTCTTTATACTTCAGTTCTTTAAACTATGTACTGCATCCTGCAATGTCATAGTGAACTCAAAGGATATTTACAATTATTGAAACATCTGTCAGATACTTCAAGAACTACCAGCTCAGGATGGTTTCCAATTTTAACAATGGTAACTTCCTATCTTGCCAAGAGCTACCTCCACATCAAGTTGTAACAGAAAATTAGAGTAGAGGTGTCCAATCTGATTCCAAGGTTTGAGAATGGGAGTCCTACTTAATAGATACACCTAGTCCATTAGTCAACAACTATGGTAACTTAAAGATGAAATAAAAATATAATTTCATTTTAGGTTTCAGTGTACTGTTTTTTAATAGTTACATTATCAGGACATAACAAGCAAATATTCTAATTGACTTAATTGAACCTTATCTAGGAAATGAAGAAAAGAAAAGAAAAGAAAAGGTGATACAGCCAGATTAGTAAGTAAAAGTCTGGGAAAAGTAGAGAAGTAAGTGCCAAGTGCTCTTTTCAGTGAGAGCTGGGAGTATGGCCAGTGGAGGGAATGTATGAACTGGTCACATCTCATCACTGTAATATGACGGAGACCAAAGATCTAATATAGAATATAAAAGCAGACTCAAATTCATGTATTTTGAGCACTAGCACAATGTAAAGTGGACAGAAGATCAATAAAACATTGGCAAGTAAAGAAAAGGGGAAACAGATATGGTAAGACTTTTGGATTACTCCAGTAGCTTAAAGATGGAGGCATAAAATGTACCTCAAGTTTCTATTATTGGCTTCCTGTCAAAACAAATGATTTATTAATAGGAAAGGAGAGGCCAAAGGCATATTTCAGGCTCCTAAGTAACAGGACTGATGACTACTCCACTGCAGAGTTGTTATCATGGATGGAGAAAAAATGAGGGTCATGTTCAGATAATACAATGAGGGAAACACACCAGTAAGAGGAAGTGTTCAAATAGGATGAGAGAACTGAAATATTCAAGGGGTTAGAATCCTTCTGTACCAAGATATTTTAGAGCAGACTGGACACCTGAACAAATCTAACGGGAGTACTGAGCCACCCAAGTACAAGTTTTGTTAAAAGAACCAGAAGCCACGAAAAATTACAAAGCAAACAATCAACAACTATTAGGAGGGAGGGAAGGAGGAAAAAAGAGAGAGAGGAAGTGAAGGAGAAAGGGAGGAGGGAACCAAGATTAGGTGAGCAAGAAAAGAAAAATAAGAGGATGGGCAGAAGTTGTAGACAAAGAATATTAAGTCATCTCAATGGTGATATCAAAATCACTGAAATTTTAAAATGACTTGCCTTCAAAGTTACCAACAGGTGAAGAGAGTACCCTGACATAGTGCTTTAATTATATGATAAGAAAAGCTAAGCTATCCTAATTGCCCAAGAATAACTACTATTTTTATGGATTATGACATAATATTTTCATTTACAGAAATAACTAAAGAGTAATATCCATGGTTAAGTTATATTCAAGTAATTTAATATTTCACTGAAGTGGAAATTTTACTACATCCAATGTTGACACTATTTTCCTTCATTTATAAATGTCTTATTAATGCAGACAACTTTTCTGTTTCTATAGCACAATGGATATACTATATATCTCTAATATGATGCTGTACCACTATGAAATTGTGTATTTAAGGACTTCGCCCTTTAAAAAGTGCTACAAGCTTGTCAAATCATTGTCTCCAGAATTTAGGAGCAACGTGCCTATTCTACAGTAGGTGGGAGGCAGTGGAACATGGATACAGGGATGCCGATTCCGAGGTTAGGATGCTAGGATTTGTATACCAGCTCTATCATTTACGAGCTGTGCAAACTTGGGCAGGTTGCCAAATCTAAGCCCCATACTTCCATGTGTGCAATAAGCATAAAAATACTATCTTAATATTTAATGACTTAAAACATAAAAATCTTAAGACTGTAATATACAATATTGAGGTTCAAGTAACCAATTCATATAAGAACCTATTCTAAAATATAATAGTTGGTATTGGCTAAAGTACTTTTTTTAATAAACTTTGCTCAAAAGGTCATTTCACATAATCATTAGAACAGAAATCTCTCAACCTGTGGTATTAAAACAAGCTCATTCATTAAACAAATGAATATAGGCAAAATATCCCTGCTTCAGATTATGTAGCAGTATAAAAATATAAACATTTCAGTTACATTTTACACAATTTCTTCTATTCTAATAGTGCAACATATTTATTATGTCAAGATTTAAATGCTTGAAAAGAACATTTATAAAAACTCATTATTTAATCAACTGTGTCCTATTTATATTTAGTTAAAGATATCTTTAAGTGGGTTCTTACCTCCTGATTAAATTTATGTGCCATCTCATTAAGAAGTGAAGAAAAAAAACTAGCATTTTGTAGTAGAACTCGACCCATAACTCCAAGATATGTGGACATGACTACAGGATATCTCTGTATAATTAAAATACAACACAAATAAAACTGTGTTAAGATACAAGTATATAAACAATCTCAAACAACATAGTGAACAACAGGAATATAAAATAACACTCTCCTTGATATTGTTTTTCTTCAGAATGAACTAACAATATTGTGTGAGTTCTAACTAAACATATGCTTTATGTATTATATATTTATATGGATTACATATGCATATGTACATGTATATAGAACAAAAAGAAAGAATATATAAATGGTATATTTCTATTACTCTACTCCTAATACATAGTTACAATGGATCTACTTAAGAACTGGATTTAGAAAATAATCAATGATTTCATATATTCAGACTACAACAAAATTAGTACCATTTTTTCCCTCTCATGTTCTCAACAATCAGGTATCAGAATTAAGTCACTAAGCATTACTTTACTTCAAATCATTGTGTGTAAATACACAGGCATATAAATGTAAGAGATGAGATGTTAAGAGAAATCTATACTTCTCAATGTAGAAAAGGAAAACACAAAGGTATTTAACTATCCTGAAAATTAATTTGTATGATCCAGATGATAAGAAAAGTTTTCCTTTATATTAACCAATGATGAAAAAATTATTTTCCAATGAGGAAAGAGAATAATTAAAACTAGGACCCTGGAGTCCAATACTATCCTTAGAAGCTTAAGAAAAGTCTTACCTCCCCTTCTATGATACCCCGGAAAACACAGGGTAAAATTGGCTGAAACATTTGTGGGCCTAATACTGGGTTCACTTTAAGGGCATTTTCCACAACCTAAAAACCAGAAAGACACACTGGTGATATTTAGTACCATAAGTCACTGTTTAATGCAAAACACAGGTAAGAAAATGATGTACTAAATTAAATAGCTCACATCAATTTTGAGAACACATGCAAGTATATGAGGGATACAATAACCTAGCACTAGAAACATTTTAACAAAAAAATTTTTTTTGTTTTTTTTGGTACCAGGAATTGAACTCAGGACCTTGTGCTTGCCAGGCAGACACTTGTGCCACTGAGCTGTATTCCCAGCCCCTACACCCAAAATATTAAAGACTGCAATTTGATATATACTATATTACATTCAGGTGCATCAATACCTCTTAGCATTATATTTAATAAGATTGTAATGACACAGGTAGCATGCTATAGCATGCTGTTAATGTAATTCTTACAAGTTAGCCTTAGAAAATGCTACTTTAAAAAAGATAGCAAAGCCATCATACCTCAGTGAAAGGAGTCACTGGTGAGGAGGTAATATGCTATTTTTGACAACCCTTAGGCTGTAACTACTTATTAGATCCTTCTTGCATATCTCTGTCTTCCTGAGAAACCACTTTGAAGATACCACCACGTATTACAGCAGCCATTGATATTTTCCTACTAATCTATCCATAACTGTGTAAAGTTTGTAATGTTCCTATCCTATTTCATAATGTATGTTTATTATTATGTATTTCCTACAACAACCACTGAGAATAGTTAATGATTTTTCAATAGGTCACTCATGTTTAGCTCTATTTATATTCTTTAGAAGCCACTTTGAAGATACCAAAGTATAGCACAATTCTTGATAATCTCCTACCTCTTTTGTCTCTAACTCACTATTATTTGTCTATTTGTTTTCCTGAGAAACTATTTTGTAGATAATAATATGTAAAATGATGTAACCATTAATAATTTCCTACCATTTTGTGTGTAATTTGCTAAGTCCCCCCTATTATTATGTTATCCTTCTTTTATTCTTTAAAATAAAATTAAAAAAAAAAAAGATAGCAAAGGGCATCTAAAAACCCTTAGTTTTGAACACAGCGAAAAGTAAAAATTTAACACCAATACTCATGGTCCCAAAATAAAACTACATTTAAATTTATCAATAAATTAAAGGAAAAGGGTATGTTATATATGTTATTAAATTAAATTAGAAATATTTTATTTGATTGAGTCATGAGTATTGACTGTTATATATGAAACCTTGAAATACAAATTATTTTTATGTAAGTGAACTACTCACTCTATAACAAAGGTGAGGGTCAGCATGGAATTCAAAATGGAGTGGGATTCTTCTGTTATGTATGTATGTACATATGTATGTATTTACTTATTTACTTATTTATTTAGAGAGTAAAGAAAACAGCAGTCAGAAAATAGCAATAATGACCAAGAGTATCTACGCTTCCAGTGCAAGGACTTAGGAGATGGCAAACAATGTAGACAACAGCTGAGAAGGTTGTTGGTCAGGTAAAAGCTTTGGGTCAAAGCCAGTTTCCCCTATGACTCCAACAATACCTCTCAAGATTAACTGCATGCCATGTACAACTATTCCATGAATTAAAGGGCTCTTGGCATCTCTAGTCTCTCTGCTCATTATGTGACTAGAGTGTGCTCAAATACAAGGATAGTCAAAAACAGCTCCCTGCATTTCAGAGCATTTCCAAGGTAAGCCAATAGCACACATAGTAGGCAATATTCTGTAATTTGGTGCTAGAAGCTAAGGAAATATCAAAAAAGTTAAAATATAAAACTTTTTTCTGTGGTCCAAGTGCTAAGCTATCTACTAAGAGACGGCAATAGAAGATACTCTTTCCGGATTAAAAGTAAGTGGAAATAACATGACAAAGAATCAGCCTATCTGTCCCACTGAGGTGGTTTTGACCAAGGCCTAGCAGCAAGAAAGTACACGGCATGCACAACATCACTCAAGCCAGATCCCAGGAGCACTCCTGCTTGTCTGCCATTGCTTGGGAGCAGCAATCCGGTCCCATTGTGCTACAATAATGCCAGAAATGCCCAGGACACAAACAATGAGAAGGAAGATGAGCTAAGAATGCGAGGAGTAGCAGAAGGAGCAACGGACCTAGGGGACAAGGCTCCTCATAATCAGTCAAGCAATCCCTAAATAGTCAAATTCGAAAAAAATACAAGAGATTTTTCCCTGAATGATAATAAATGGTCTGAAAGAACCAAGAAAAGCTGAGGCAGCGCACTGCAACCAAAAAGAACACCCACAAAACCACGTTCTCTTGTAGAGGACCCATGAAGTACATATTTGGCCGGAGCATGGTCAAGACTCCCAAAAAGAGAAACAGCACAAAATCAAGCAGATGGGTCCAGATATTGCCAGTTTCTGTGTGGATGAAGAAGATACTCTTAAAACAAGCCCACAAGGAGTGCATGTTTGGTCAGTGACAGGTAGTCACTGTCTTTCAGCCAGTCTAGGAGCACATAATATGGAATGACCAGCCAGCATTCCTCCCAGACCTTAGATACAAACACCTCTATCATCCCCATGGGTGCGGCAGGAATCATGAGCACCCATACATCTTCCTGGAGCACCAGGCATGTCTACTCCTTTTTGGCTTTGGTTGGGATGGGCATTACCCGCATGTCCTTCTCTTCTAGCAGTGGACCCAGCCAGTTTAGTCAGCTGCACTACCTCAGTTTCCCTATTACTGGCAGGAGTCCCATTGCCTTGTGCCACCACAGATCCTTTATGGGAAAACATTTGGCTGGTACCTCAAAATCCTGCAGCTTCAGCTTGAGGATAAGGTTGGGGCTTCTCAGCTATAGGAGCCCAAGATCTCCCTGTGACAGCAGAGAGGCAGGCTGGGCAGGTAGTACTCAGGAAATGGTTCCTGCCACAAACCACAGTGCTGGAAGGGCCACATGACCCTCTTTTTCTTTTTGCTCTAACACTGTATTCCACCAGAAATGTACAAGTGAAATATTATATATTAACGCTGCATGAAATATTCTCAGATGATTGCTATAATACCATAACAGTCAAAGTCAAATGTCTCAGTCTGGTGGTTGTCTTTAGGAACTAATTTTTATTTTTTTAAATGATGTACAGCATCTATATGGCTCCCTACTCTCAACTGCATATAACAAATACAGTAAGTGTATGCTGAAAGAGCTAGCTTCTATTCTCTCTCACTCTCCCCACTAGATAACCATTTTTATTAACTTGGTTTGTTCTTTCATTTTTATCTTTGTTCCACTCTTTCAACAGATGAAAACTCTAGACATTATTTTTTACTTATATCGTAAAAATTACTCTGAATACATAGAGATGTTCATTACTTTGAAAAGTGGCAAAGTACTCAACTGGATAACTATTCTTCCAATGATCCAATCATTTATTACAAATTATTTTTTATCAGCAGTTTGCTGCTGCAAATAGAACCATTTGCATCTTTAATTCATCCCTTTTCTGAATATACCTGCAATGGACTATGGTTTTTTTAAAATCCATTTGAAAAATGAAAAATTTCAACTTGTGCTTAAGAGTCAATTTTCTTGATTCTTGCTTACACTAAATGCAAAGTAGCTAAGAGCATGGATTCTGAAATACGAATGCCAGGATTTATACTTATTAGCTGTGTGACCTTAGATACATCATCTACCTTTTTGTTATTTACTTTCTCGCCTATAAAAACAGGAACAGTATTGTCATCGTATGTTTATGTGAGGATTAATTGAACTATACATGTTATGTGCTTAGAAACATGCAGCACATAGTAAATGATGTTAGTTCTTATTACAAAATATATCTTTAAAACACTTGTGTCATTAGCCTTATCAGGGTGAATGAAAGTAACTTGGCTCATTCATGCTTGGTATTATTATGAGGGAAATAAAAATTTCAAAAGGCAAAGTGAAATGTATGTATCTTAACACATTTCAAATTAAAGAACTGTTAACAAGTGAAATTTGAGTATTTTTAGAATATAGTTGTATTCACCTAGATAACTTGTTCTGAGCCACAGAATAAAGTCTATTTTTGCTCTAAACAATTTGCTCCCAAATCGGGCTTACTGGTTTCTCTACCCAATTTTCCTAACATTGTAATTTTCTGCTTCAAAGAATAAAAAAGTTATTTGCAGGTATTGTCAGAAATTAGTATAAATGACATTCAGTCAAAAATATATTAAGAATGTTACATAGCACAGTATATTAAGAAATGGTACCTAGGCAATTAAAAATGAAAATAATGAGCTAATATTAAAAACTCTTATTACAGTTATACCAGAAGTTTTAGGAAAATGACAACAATTTTGGAAATTCTCACAACCTTCCTATAATGGCAGAAAATAAAAGCACCACTGTTCTAAAATATTCCTTTGTGTAAAAATACAAGAAATTTACTTGTGGTACTTAGTACATCTCTAGTAATCAACATACAACCATTTATTAAATATTAAAATCCAATTTCTGAGATTTCAAATCAAATATATGGTTTTAGGTAAAATGTTTATACAAAATAATGTCAAACATATATTCAAATTCTCAATTTTTAATTGAAGTTTTTATATCTTATTAATGACCCCTATCGGCTGCTTTCAGAGAAAGTAGGCCTAATCTGTAATTTATATTAAATATTACAAATATTTTACTATATATTTGGTTAAAATCAACCAAAATATCAAAAATTCACTGTTCTTTCAAAAAAAGAAAAAGATTTCTGCTAACTCAAAATCATGAGGGTAGTGAATAGGATGCAAATTTGGAATTTTCAACAACAAAGGTTTGTGTTATTCTGAAAAAATACAAGTTTTCAACAGCCAGCTGAACTTCACAGTTCTTAATGATAATGCACCATCATGAAATAAATCACCTCCTTAATATGTAAACAATGTAGTTTATTTTTGAGAATTTATTTAGAAGAAACGGTCATATAATGAGGCAGAAAATCTTGCTATTTTCCATAGTCAAAGATCTAGCAAACAGTCTACAAGTGTTTTAGCCCTTTTCCCCTCACAGACTTCATAGCACAGTCACATATATGAGATAAAAAGAGACAACTCTTATTAGTTATAACATGCTAGCACTTATTGTTATTAGTGCTTTCATATACATGAGCTCAAATAATCCTCATATCAACTCTAGAAACCAGGTAAAGTTCTCATCCTTGCTCTACAGAAAGAAAGTAAATTGCTGTATCACACAGCTGTGAAATAGCCCTGCCCATATTCTAACCTGGCACTCTAGTCATTCCTGCTATACTATACTCCCCCTATGTTGTGAGAGCGTAGCAAAAAACAAGTAAGAAGAAGTAAATACTCTCCTGGACACCCTAAAGCCTTGCCTCATTTTGGACAGAAGTTTCACAAGGCCCATTCCAAATTATTTTACAAGTTGTCTTTCAGAACCACCTTACTAACAATGTTGCAGAAAAGGTATAAGAAAGTTTTTTATTCAAATTTGGTCCATTATCAAATGTACAGCACCTATCATATTGGTTAAGATGACGACCATCTGAGCAAACTTTTACCCACTTACTCTTCAAGTATACTGCAGAACTGCTGCACACTTACTGTGCTTACTTCTATAAATTTCTTACTAAGAACCCCTTTGGGCAACCACTTTTTTCCTAGGAAGTCACTTTTGAAGATCTCAAACAATATCATAGTTTTCATACCACAAATGGTACTTTGTTACCATTGTAACACTCACCTAACTAGAATTTTGCTGTTATCTAACTTAGGACACAGATAAGAAATTACAAAAAAAAACAAAAAACAAAAAAAAAAAGAAATTACATAGATATATCGTCTCTCAAAGTTCATACATAAATTACATATATGTATGTATGGATACATCTGTATGATACATTTCAATATAGATTTACATACACATCAGTGTTTAAGTGTATCACACCCTTAACACTATAAGGGTATTTCTAACTTTAATATAGAAACTCATATAACAAGGACAATACACTACTTAAAGTTTACTGGTTCTTAATCATGCATAATTCTGACAAACTTGGTACTCTAAGTTCAATAGCTAACTCAAATTAAAACTATCAAATATGGTAAAAAAAAAAAAAAAAAAAAAAAAACCTATCCCAGAAGCAGACTGACAAACTAAAGGGGTAAAAAGTATCAAATGTCACTAATCTTTAGACAACTCATTAAAAAGTTTTTAAACTCTTGCTACACGAAATGAGGTTTCAAGACAAGCAACATCTCAAACAGCTAAGACTTAGAAATACAAAATTACACTTTAACAAGATTTCTTGCAGATCTGTACACATACTCAAATTTGAGATCTCCAGTAAAGAGTTTATGAAGCCAACTGGGTACTATAAAAGAAATACCCTGTCTAGAATTACACCAACTCTTCTCCTTGGTGTCAACCATCCACACACAAATGAAGGATTAACTTCACAAAAAACTCAAAGGTGTTCAACTTAGCAAATAACTTTTTAATCATCCATTGAAAAAAAGATGACAATACCTTGAGGACTTGAACTTGACCTTCTGTAGTAATTTCCTTTAGTAGTTCACAAAAGGACTGACAAAGAACTACTGCATATGTCTGAAATTCAATCAAAAGTCAATATACACATAACAATATATGTGTAATATCAAAAAGGCATAAAATTTAATTTGAGATTCATTATCCATTGAGAATTATATGCTAATGGTCTAAGCAATAAAGTTTCAGTACTCAGTTAAGAAAACAGATTATACATCATAAAAATATAGCTGATACCTTAATTTTATAGGAATACATGTAACATTATATTTAAACAGTATATTTTCAGCATTAAATGACAATGGAACTGCACAATTCATATCTGCCATGCAGTGGAGAATGCTCTCCGAGTCTTTTTCTCCCTTAAAAGTAATAGGTCAATCTTAGATTCTGAAAAGCCATCTCCTGATTGCAGACAATTATCAACATCATTTTTTTTACAATGCAAAAACTACTCCAACATACCTGTAAAAACTCGGTTGATGATAAAAAGATATAACCATTGATAATCTTAAAGCAGGTCCTGAGATTTTCTGAACTTAGTTCTGCAAAACAAAAATTTTAATTTTTTAAATAAAAGACAAATTAGGGGCTGGGGATTTAGCTCAGCGGCAAAAGCGCCTGCCTGGCAAGTGAAAGGTCGTGAGTTCGGTTCCCAGTACCGGAGAAAAACCAAAAAAATAAAAAATAAAAAAATAAAAGACAAATTAAAATGAAGTGATTCAATTTAATACTAAGTGATAAACCTTTCTTTACCAAATTTTCTAAGAGCTATTCAAACTACAATTATCTATAAATGTTTATCTAAAACTGGCATAAACTTTAAGTTATCTCATTTACCTTTCAGTAGTTAAAACAATTTAGAAAAAACATCAAGCCCCTCTTTTCCATCCGAAAAAAAAATAAACATTTGACCCAATCTTTCATTTTAATCCAAAGTTTCAGCGCTAACACGGCAAACAACATGTGACTAAATCATTTTATCATTATATTTTGACATGTGCGTAAATGAGTTCACTCAATGAGTGTTTAGTCTTAATGCACTGGCACTAAGCATGTTGTTAAGAAAACAACTCTGAGGCCAGGTATAGTGGCATATGCCTCTAATCCCAGCACTCAGGAGGCTGAAGCAGGCTGAGGCTACAAGTTGAGGCCAGGCTAGGCTACATGGAGAGTTCAAAACCAGCCTAAAATATATAGCAAGACCCTAGAAAGAAAAAAAAATGAAAAAGAAATACATAAAAATATTTCTATATTATACTCGAAAAGAAATTGTATTACATTTCAATATTCCTAATTCTTGGGCTTTGTTCTTCAAATCTGTTCCTCAATAGAAACTTTCACATAAAAACCTTTCTTAAATATGTAATTACCTAAACAACAAAGGAAAAAGACATTGTATTTAGCCAATCCCTTTCAAAGACAAAGTAGAAACTATTCTCTTAACACTGAATGTGATCAAACGTTAATGCAGGGTAATTTTATATCACTCACTACATACAATGATACAACAGTGTGTATATATATATATATATATATATATATATACAGATCAAACTATAACTCAAAGATATGGCTAAAACTTTCTTTTTGAGACAGTCTCATTATTCAGTCTCATTATTCAATATTATTATTCAGGCTGGGCTTCAACTCACTATGTAGCCCAGGCTGGTCTCCAATTCACACCAATCCTGTTGCCTCAGCCTCCCAAATGCTGGGATTACAGGTCTGTGCTAAAATGGCCAGCTAAAACCTGCCATTATTTACCAATTATTATTTCCAATATTTTGGAAATCCCATTCACTTACAATAGGACAGAAAAAAAAATCTTTTTTTCCAATCATGTAACAGAATTGTATTTATTTTCAAACATGGTGAATAATTTATGTCTATAATTTTCCATCAGGGGCAAGTCTGTTTCCTAGGACATTTGGCATCGGGTGAAAACATTTTTGATTGTCACAAGTAATATCTAATATATAGAGGCCAGAGATAATATTAAATATCCTACAGTGCACAAGAAAGCCCCTCACAATGAAAGTTTACCTGGCCCAAAATGTCAGTAGAGCCAAGATTGAAAATCTCATTTAAAAGATTAGTTTTTTGTTTCAAAAAAATGCTAAGAGCTCTCAGGTAAATTTGTTACTCAACAAAGTGCTATATCTAATCTTGCTCTGAATATACATGATTTATATCTATTGGTCAGATTACATTTTATAATCTGTTCCATTTTGTTTTTCTTTATTCTTTTTGCTATTTTTAATTTGTATTTCATTTTATATTTTATGCATTGTTTCTGTAAAGGGGAAAGGAATGAATTATTGAATTACAGAAATTTAATCGGAACCTACTTAATACTTACCCTCATAACTATTTAATGCTTGGTTTTTGGAATCAGAGCTTTTAAGTTTTTTCTTCTGTTTCAAATTCTGATAAAATGCATAAGGTAAGATAATCTCCTTCCTTCCAAATTAGACAGGAATTTACCAGCAGAAAAATTGTATTGGTCAAGAAATATCAATTTGGCTTTGAGACCAAGAACACACTCCCATCAGTTCATCTTTTAAGTAATAATAGTAGTAAGTAAATTAAAACTATGCAATAGATTTAACGGGCAAAAAAATCCCAACTCATTAGAACTAAATTAAAATAATTACTCTTAGTTATAGCTTCTATTTTTAAAAAATTCAAGTTCTCCTTACATTTAAAAGACATAAAAAGACTTAATTAACACATACTAATAATCATTAACTTAAACACTTTGAAGTGCTTGGTACTATTGGTTTATACATTTTGAAAGGGACAGTTTTTGCTAACAGTTTTATATCTGATTTAAAAAAAGAGCAATCACACATTAAATAAACTCTTTAAAATCACTGATCTAACAAAAAAGAGGTTTTTGGGGGGGTCTTTTTGAAACAGGGTCTCACTATGCAATTCAAACTGCCTTTGAACTTACAGTGATCTTCCCGCCTCAGCCTCCTGAGTGCTGGGACTATAGGTATGTGCCACCATGCCCAGCTAGAAAGGGTACGTTTTAACTGATACCAAAACTGAGCATTCATTTTACTCTATTAGAATATTAAAACAAATATTCTTGTCCTATTTCCCAATACATTTAGACATTTATCTGGAACACTATATATGCAGAAAGCTACATGTCAATATCAATGAATGGTATAAAATTCAAACAAAAATAGAGGCAATACTGATGTTAACACACAACAAACCTCATCAGCCAAGTTCAACCTCTCCTCCCTTAAAATAATTTTTTTCATATTATTGATGCAATATACATATTACAATGCATTAAAACATCTTTTTCAAGAATAAAAGTAGAAATATTTCAATAGTACCCATATCACTTATATCACTGAACAGAATTTTTTCAAATCTTTAAAAATTAAAAAAATTTAAGCCAAATATTCAAGACTGAGATGTCATTAGTTTTTAGTTGAAACCGAGGGCCTCATTCATGCTGTACAGCCACTCTACCACCTATGCTACATCCCCAACCCTTCATTAGTTCTCGTCTCAACTGGGTAACGCATCCTACAGAGACAGTTGATGGTTGGTTACTTTTTCTCTTAAAATAGTGGTTAGGGGCCAGGGATTTAGCTTAGTGGCACAAGTGCCTGCCTGGCAAATGCAACATCCTGAGTTTGATTCCTGATATCCACCAAAAAAAAAAAAGAATAGTGGTCATGTGAATAGTAGTAAAGCCATAACAAGAATAAACATCAAGTGCTTATTGAATGCTGGGCACTGTTCAAAATATACAGAAGTTCTTATTGCTGCTGGGGGGATGTGGCTCAGTGGTAGAAAGCTTGCCTACTATTCCTGAGGTTCTGGATTCAATCCCCAGTACCGCAAAACAGGAGGAGGGTGCAAAAGGTGAGGGTCCAGTCCACAAGTGAGGAGAACAAAAGGAGGAGGGAGGGAGGGAGGAAAGATTAACTTAAAAGCAAAAACACATATGAAATGAAACCACTGTGTGAAGTCACTATTATGTGAAAGTGGCAGAATGCTGTTCATGACAAAGTTTACAATGGCCTTGGAAAGGTTTCCAATCCTAGGTCAAGTATAAAGAAGCATCAGGATTACATACACTAAATGGCACTGTATGTGGTCTTCAAATTGGTTAGAACAGAACTGAAAAGCTTTTCCCCAGAAAGCAGAGGGAAAGTAAGAGGCATTTCCTATTTGTTACGATTAGTGAAAGATAAAAGTTTTCCTGGGCGATCAGGGATCAGTGGCTGGTCTATTGCCAGTAACTTCATCTTTGGGAAATTTTTCCCTTTATGGGGAAGCTAGATGAAAAATTGCAAATAGCTCTTTACTGGAAAACAAATGGTTACCTTGGTTATTGCAATCTTACTCTAGTCTGAGCAATAAAATAGAATAAAAGAACTCAGAGGAAACATAAACAACTAATTATATTATTGAGCCACTATGGTCATCTAACAAATGAGATAAAACAATTTTTTAATCAGTTCCAATTGTGTTTCAGTCCACATTTGCTGATATTTTCAAAGAGCGACTACTTTTAAAGTGTGTCATTATATCTCTGTTGTTTTTGCTTCTGAAAAAAATACCCAAGGATAAGTTCTCAGACAAAAAAAATCTACCTAATGTTTTTTGTAACCTAATAAGCTTCATAATTACATAACTCATTCATAAGTAACACTTTAGTGAACACTGTATATAATTTCCTAATATTTAATTTCAGTGGTCCTTAATTAAAACAAAAGAATATGTACAATGCTCAATTTGAAAAACTGATTGTACAAAATGTCTTCATAAAAGAAACTGAAACCATAGTTTACAAAAGCAATTTTACAGTAAATTATTTTCCTAAAATTTTATTATATATTGTTTTGTTTGGTGCTGGGGATCAAATCCAGGACATGGTCCATGCTAGCCAAGTACTATACCACTGAGCTATACCACAGCCCCAACATAAATATAGTCTTTAAGTAGTTTATAGAACTGCTATCAAAAAAAAAAAATAGAACTGCTATCAAACACAAAAATTTTACCAAAATTCAAGCTCAAGTTGTAATTAATTTGCTAAGAATACTTTTTTCTATTACAAAATTTTCTACAAGGCAATGTAATTAGTGTTTACTCTTAAATGAGCCTAAATTATTCTAAAATGTTATGTACAATAACCTAGAAACTATAAAAGCACTATTCAGCTTATTTTGTTAACATGTGGGAGTCTAATAAAAATGGAAGGTGTGCTCTAAAGTCAGTTATACTTCCTCAAAAGCATGCTTCTTGTTTAATAAGATAATGTTCTAATACATACCAAGTAGTGGTGACATATTCTGAAATACACGAAGCAACTCTGGTGTAATACATGGACTGTTTTCCAGTGTCACTAACCTAGGGCAGGAAAAACAGACAATCAAATTACTCTGCATGCCAATTAAAACAATTAACTAAATAAATACAAAGAAAAACAGGCTCATCTAAAGAGAGGAAAGGGGATAATACACACAGTTATAAAAATTATCTAAGGTCAAGCATCAAGGCACATGACTATAATCTCAGCACTCAGGAGAATGAGGCAGGAGGACCACCGCGAGTTCCAGGCCTGCCTAGGCTACTTAGTGAGTTGAAGGCTAGCCTGAACTATCTAGTGAGCCCTGTCTCAAAAAACAAACAAAAAACAAGTAAGAAAAAAGATTACAAATGCCTCAAAATAAAAGCCTTCTACATACTATATTATGTAGTATCTTTTCTATCCACATAAAAAAAATAATCTAAACTTTATTTAAGCATGTTTAGTAATAGAATTATAATTTTAAAGCAAAACGATTAGCATGAATTGGTCAAGGAGGGATAAAAATTACTTTGTTGTTTTGATTTTCATGAACTAGTCTTCTGCCACATGTAATTTGCATGTTCCTTTGATAAGAAATTACATTAATAAGTTAATAAAACAACTTATGCTAAATGCTTTCTAAATATAAATTTAATACAATAAAGGCCAATTACAAAGCCAGGTGTGTTGGTATATACCTATTATCCTAGCATTCTGGAAGTCTAAGGGAGGAGAATTGCTGGGGTAATTTTGTGATCTAGTGAGACCCTGTCTTAACATATGAAATTTTAAAATTGGGTGGGTATGTAGCTCATTGAGAAGGCCGTGGGTTCAGTTTCAGAAGGGGTACTGCCATTATAAGCCAATCTCATACCATTAGTACTTTGAAATAACAATGTATTAAAAATGTAGCATTGTACAGCAATGGTAACCAGTAGCAGGGTGAAGAGACAACCCTAACGCATGGGCAAAAATTTTTGCCAGCTACTGCTCAAAGGACTAATATCTACAATATATAAAGAGCTCAAAAAAATTAGACCCCCCCCAAATTTAAAGACCCAATTAAAAAATGGGCATCTGAAATGAACAGATAGTTCTCAGATGAAGAAATACAAATAGCCAATAAGTACTATACATGAAAATATGTTCTACATCACTGGCCATTTGAGAAATGCTTATTAAAACAACACTGAGACTTTTATCTCACTCCAGAAAGAATGGTTACCATCAAGAAATCAACCAGTAACAAATGCTGGCGAGGTTCTGGGGAGAAAAAAACCCTTCTCCATTTTTGGTAGGACTGTAAGCTGATACAACCACTATAGAAATCAGTATGGAGAGCCCTCAAAAAACTAACAATAGAAATTCCACTTGACCCAGCTATTCCTCTTCTAGGTATCCTTCCAAAAGACTTAAAGACATCATACTGCAATGATGTATGCACACCCACGTTTATAGCAGTGCAATTCTTAATAGCTAAATCTTGGAATCAGCCTATATGTCCATCAACAGATAAATCGATTTTTAAAATGTGGTATTTATACATAAGAGTATTATTCTGCCATAACAAAGAATAAACTTGAATCATCTATAGGAAAATGGATGCATCTTGAGACCATAATGTTAAGTGAGATAACTCAGACACACACACTGAAACACCAAAGGCCTTCTCTTACATGAAGAACGTATATATATATTACAAAATAAAAGAAGGTAACAGGAAAAAAAGAAGCGGGGAAAAAAGGTACTGTAATCCAATGCAGACAATCCATCTAAAACTGTACCCTGACTTGGTACAACTGTCTTACATGTTTTATATGTTCTTTGGCCTATTAGTCTGGTTTTCAATCTGTACATGTGTTAATTAACTTTATAAATGAATAAACAAATAAATCATAAATGAGTAATTCAGATAAATAAATGAATTTGGAAAAGTAAAGTGGGAGTGGGGATGTTGCAATGTGTTACCTACAGTGAATGCAGACATTATGAATGGCAAACATGTACTAATAAAAGTTAAAAAATTTACACAGTATATAAGGTGATTTAACACAGAAGTGTATGATTGGTATATCTACTCACCTTCCACCTACCCTCAAAGAATTCAAAGGAGAAAAATCACAGCTGTCACATAACATCCAGAAAAGGAGGAAAATATACTAATCAAAATATAATATTCAGTTGAAAACCTTATCTGATTACAAATAGAAAAGGGCTTCCTTAATCTGACAGAAAGTATCAACTAAGCACTCAGCAAATGCACTCAGCGATGACCTGTTAAAACCTTCTTCTAGGCAAGGCAGGAACAAGCCTCTAAGAACGTACAGTGTCACCTTTCCACTTCTACATCCATTCAGTTTATATACAGAAGCCTCACATAACATGTCAACTAAGTTAATAAAAGACACAAGGATATAGAAAGGAAAAGTTTTTGTTTTTGTTTTATTTTTTGAGACAATGTCTTGCTATATATATCAGCCTGGCCTTAAACTTGCAATCTTCCCGCCTCAACCTCCCCAACGCTTGCATTATAAATATGTGCTGCCACATCTGACAAAAAAGTTAGTCTTTATTCACAAAAGTTAAGAGTCATAGAAAGAGACAAAAAATTCATACATGAATTTTTCAACTTACTAAATATTCAGTAAGTTTACTGAATATATCAATATACAGAAATCAGTTGACTTTCTATGTGCACCAAAGATGTAAATGGATGATGTTATCAACCATTCAACACCGTACGGACATCGATGCTCTCTAAATTGTTAAACAATTTCAATTCAAATCCCTACAGGATTTTCCCTGGAAATGAGACAAGCTGCCTTGGAGGACAACTGGCCAAGAACAGACAAAATATTTTCCAAGAAAAGAAAAAGGTTGTATACGGAGGTACGAGGGTGGAGGGGAATACTTTTTTAACTAGATATTGTGACTTACTATAAAACCACAGTTATTAATTTAGTAAAAAAATACAAATTATAATAAAAAAAGCTCTGTCAATGGGTCTAAAGTAACATTCTCCCTGAAGCTTGTGCCTTCTCTCCCTGTTCTTCATTTCTAAAAAGGTTACTCAGGCTGATATTTTTACTTCCTTTTGTAGGTTCTATAGCATAACATGTTATTCGAAAGATGGGAAAACTTCCAGAATTTAAACTACTTAGAAATAAAGTGACAAGATGCACAACATCTGGTTAAATTAATAAAGACAAGAAAGGGAGAAAAAATGAGACAAACAAAATAAAAGCATGGCTCTTTCTTTTCCTTTTGTGCCACAATGGGGATTGAACCCAGGATCTCATGTATGTTAGGCAAGTGTTTTACCATTGTTATGGTTTATGTCTAGATGTCCCTAAAGCCTCATGCAGTCATAGGGATGGGCTCCTAGAGTATGTGATTGATTCGTGATCCAACGCTAAGATTACGGGTGTGAGTGCTACATGTGCCCTGGAATGGGTAGCCCGCCTACAATATAAGGGAGAGTAAGAGGCTTGCTCCCCTCTTTGACTCCTTTTCTGCCCCTTCTGCTCTTGTTGCCTTTGCTATCTTCCACTCCCATGAACTGGTGTCCTCTGCCATGCCACTCTGCCTTGGAGCCAACTGATTATGGACTAAAACCTCCACAAACTGTGAGCCTAAATAAACCTTTCCTTCCTTAATTTTGGGCATCGGGTATTTTGTCTCAGCAACTAAGAAAAAGTAACTAAGACAATCACTGAGCTACATTCCCAGCCCTTTTTATTTTGAGACAGGTTCTCACTAAATTGCTTAGGTTGGCCTCAAACTTTCTATCCTCCTACCTCAGACTCCAGAATCACTAGGATTAAAGACTGGGGTTATAAGCATGCACCACCATACCCAGAGCATAGTACTATCCTTTACCATTACCAAAGAGAGTCTCCATTTTGATTAGTAATTAGAAAAGGCTATAGGCAACAACATGTTTGACTAAAGAAATGTAAAGTTAGTGCTACAATTTTACACACACCAAAAAATAAAAATAGAAGAGTAAGCATAAAGTGAGAAGAATATCAACTCACCAAAGAAGTACATCACATTAAATTCTATTGAATTATTTTTGGTTACATCAAAATTAAAAATATAGACATTTTTTCTTTATAGAAGACAACTAAATGTCAGATAGAAAAAGCTAAAATATAAAAGATGAAAAAAGTTAAGTCAAATCTAAACAAAATAAACTACAATATTAATCAGGTAAAATTCAAATGCAAAAGAAGTAAAACATGGAATGTAAATCACTTCATATATATTACATAATATGCTCCATGAAAACACTCAAATTTCAAATTTATTAAATATTTCAGCAATATACAAAAGGATCAAAATAACAAAATATATGAGTATTGTTCAAAACATATACACCAAAACAGAAATAAAAAGGAACACTGACACATAGAAAACCCAAAGAGATATTTTAATAAATCAATGTCAAGAAGAAAAAGCAAAATAATAATGAACTATACAACTGACAATTTAAAAAAAACATGTAAGAGTTACATCTTTGACACCATCATTGCAATGAAATATGAGTATTTTATAACAATGAGAGTTCTGTGGTAAAAATTCACATATCCCAATATTCTTGGAGGCTGAAGTTGGAGAATCACAACCTCAAGTCCAGCCTAGACTGAAGTGACTTAGGGAAAACATAGGAGTTTTCCTAGGTTTCCTCAGCCTAGGGGTGACTTAGGGAAAAGCTGTCACTAAATAAAAAAGGCTGAGTATACAACTTGGTGCAAAGGCCATGGGTTCAGTCCCTAGTATCAAAAAAGAATTTTTAAAAACAAAAAGCATGGTAGGGCTGGGAACATAGGGTGAAGCACTTGCCCAGAAAATGTGAGACTAGGTCTTGACACCTAGCACCACCACCAAAAAGCAGATCAAAAGATAGAAAGATCATGAGACAGATGTATATATACAAGCCACATTTTATAATGGTAATGTACTAAAACTAGACCTGAATCATATATTTAAAAAATACAGCAAAACAAAACAAAACGAAACAAACAATGTTGGATCAAACAATTGCCAAAATACCTGTAATGGCACCACCAAAATAAAAAACAGGACACTATACATCAGAACTTACTTAAGGGAATAGGCAGTTATACTTTAAGGTAAGTTCAAATCTTTAATGCTTTACTGTTTAATAACAAAAACAAAGGTCATAAACTAATTTTTTATTTCACAAGTTTAGAAAAATATACCCACAAATGAATGTAGAAGCAAGAAATTTGGAGCAGAAATAGAGGAAAGGACAGAAGTACAGAATTTATAAATCTAAGAGCTGGCTCCTTCACAACAATAAAGACAATTCCCTAATAAATGACTTTAAAAAGAGAAAAAAAGAATAAACCCATAAATGGCAGAGATAAATATACAGATATTTTCTATTTAAGGGACTACATGCCAAACTACATCAAAAATCAACACTAAAATAAATGTACTTGCACTAAACTAAGGATGTTATCAGATTGTAAACAAACCCCAGCCCCTGCCATGGGTTCAAGTCCAGTTCAGTACTGAATTTTACAAATATCTAAATAACAAATATAAAAACTATTCTAGTGTAAATTATTTTTTAAGTTGGTAAACTGGCAAAATAAACATAGCCATGATAGAAAGATCAAACAGTACTACAAAGTATAGATCATAGATAGATTCATTTACAAAGAGAGGAAAAGGTTAAATTAAATGTAATACTGAAAAAAATTTTGTAATATATTAAAAGTGTAATTCACCCCAGCAGCTACAGTTTATCTCAGGAAGTCAAGGTTTTCTTAAGTTGTTTTTTTTTTAAGAGAAAAAATAGTCTCCTGAGTAGATGTCCAAAAGCAATTAAATTTTGTTTTTAAATGATGAATATCATATTACACTTCATGATACATAGCTGACATTGCTTACTGCTTCCATCATCCACTAGCCCATCCTATTTCCAAACAATACTCTCTTTGTGCAAGGTTTTTTTGCTCAAATTCTGCTTTAAAGTAAGTTAAAAGTAAGTTTCTGTCTTTTTAAGGCAGGGTTTCACTATGCAGTTCAGGCTAGCCTTGATCTCCCTAAGTAGCTCAGGCTGGCCTCGAACTTGCAGCAATCCTCCTGCCTCAGCCTCCAGAGTGCTGGGATTACAGGCATGCACCACCATGCCTGGCTTGGTTTTCAGTTCATACTCCTGACCACAAATGGTACTGGTTATTCATATTAAGTTCAAATTTTCATTCTCTTTTTCTTTTTAACGGTACTGGGGATTGAACCTAGGGCCTTGGCATTGAGTTATATCCCCAGCCCTTTTCTTTCATTTTTTTGTGCAAAGGTATTGCTAAGTAATTAAACTGCTCAGAAGGGACTCCCACTTGCAACTCTCTTGCCTCAGCCTTCCAGAGTGCTGAGACTCCAGGCATGTGTCATTATGCCCAGCTTCATTCTTTACTTTATTACTTCTCTCCCCTAAAGATCTCTCATATTTTGTGTACACTCCCAGTCAAGCCTATTAATTTAACTACCACCATCTTCTAGTGAGAAAACAGAAGCTATATTACATAGAACAACTCTGGAGATCTACCTGCATATCTCCAATTAGCATGAAGTATCCCTAGTGCTATCAACATTGAACCTTTTCATTTGAGCTCTGAATTCTATCCCTTCTTGTCTCCTCTCACTGTCCCATTTTCAATCCAGTCTCACCTATTCTTCCAAACTTTGCATTCCCCATATCTTACATTCTACATACACTCTTAACAGTAAAAGCTGTTAAGCAAGTTGTCAATACTCAGTCTTACTTATCTCTAATTCATTCTTAAGTCTAGTTTAATTTCTGTTTTTAACACTTTACTTGAAGACCCTCCTGGGCTGGGGATACAGCTCAGCAGCACAAGTGCCTGCCTGGCAAGCACAAGGTCCTGAATTCTATTCCCAGTACCCGCCCCCCCACAAAAAAGAAAAGAAAATCCTATCATCTCCATGTGGACAAATGCACTTCTCTGTACTATTTTACTAGTACAATCAGCAACGTTTGATCCATATCCAAAGCTCTCTGTTAGGAAACTCTCCTGTCTCAGCTTGGTTTTCCTACTACAGTGTATCAGGAGATATCCTTTCTGTCTTCATAGATGGCTCCTGTGTGTCCTCAAAATGTTGTAAGTTCACCTGGTTTTTGCCCTGCAGAAAATTCTTAACCTGTTCTTCTCTTCCCAGGCAAGCTTATACATCCATAGACATTAAGTGCCATATACAAGGTGCTAATCACTTTAGTAAAAATTTTCTTACTTTCATGACAATTATTTCTCCTGAGTTTACAGGTAAGCAAGCTGAAGCTCTCAGAAGATGATTAACAATCAAATCACAAACAAAATACAGCACAATAACTAGAAATAGCATCTGTGTCTGTCTGATTCCAAAATGAGCTCTAACTCAGTAGGAAAAATATGGGAAAAAATTTGTACCCTATTTCTTTAGAGAAACAACTATTAATAATTTAAATAAATTTTTTTTAAAAAAGTGTTCTAATGATTTATTTTCATGTATATATAACTTAAGGTTTGGAAAAAAGAAATTACCATTAGCAAACAAAGATATTTTATTATTCCTTTGTTTATATAATTCACTGAAGATTTGCATACCTTTAATAAACACATCAACATACTGTATTTGTAATACTGATAAGCCTGAGTCTAGGTCTTCATAACATTCTAAAACTTTCTAACATTCAACATATCATCTCTACACATTGGTAAGTTTTCTGCCAGAGATTAATACTGTAATTTATGATTTGGAGTGAGGTTGGAAAACTACAAGTCATGGATGAAACCCAACCTGTACCCTGCATTTCTGCAAACCTGATGAAATGTACCACAACCACATCTGCTTGTTTCTGATCTGTTTGTGTTATGTACTGTTCTGACACTAAAACATCAGAGTTAAGTAGCTACAGAGACTGTACAACTTGGAAAAACTAAAATACTTTCTGTTTGGCCCTTTATAAAAAAAGTTTGCCAATCTCTGATCTAAAATAATACATCCTTTTACAAAAATAAATTAATATAAGAACATCCTAATTTATAACCAAACCATCTATGTGTCATTTAAGTTCAAATAACATAAGCTTGAAAATAATGAGAAACCCAAACTGCAAATTATTACTAAGTATCTATCTAGTTAAGTTTTAAAATCATTCATCTGGTATTCTGATATGATCATTAGTTTCTAATTTATACCAAAGAAAACATCTAAGAACCAAAAATGTTAATTCCTAGCTATCTAAGCAAAATTAAAAATGAAAGGGAGGAAGAGGGAGGAAGGACAATCAACAAATACTCACTTTTTCTACGGTTGATTTCTGTAACTGGCCCTTAATTCCTATGATCAGTTTCTGTAGTGGCGAACATATGGCACGCATGCCGCAGCAGGCTATTTGTATCACTAAAAGCTCTAAAACATTCGCCATCACTGCTCATTATTAAAATTTTTAAACCACTCATGTACAAATAAACTGGGGAAAATTCACAAGTAAGACAAACCTAATAAAGAAAGAGGATCTTCTAGCATAGTTCTTCACCTACATGAAGTATTCACTGGGTAAGATAATGAAAGGTTGAAAAGTAACTCAGTATGTGCAAAACATCTTTCAGTCTGGAAATTTTAACACAAATTTTAGTCTGGGAAAATTATCGAGAGTCTTATTTTACATGCCAAATTCCAAACAATAAAATGCAGCTGAGTTCTTGCTGCATTTCCCCTTTAATTTTGTATACTGTAAGACAATACTGAGTTATAGCTCATAAAGAGGCACTGTAATTCATTTAAGGAAATCAATCCCACATCCTTAGTTTTAAATGCTGAGTATTTAAAGCCCTGGTACATGATCTTTACTTTATTGGCACGGGAGTATGGAAGGCCAGGAATTAGAAAAAAAAAGAAGACCCATTATATCAAGTTTTCCTCTTACCATAATTCTAAACCATCTTCCAGAAGATAGACATGTGGAGGCTGGGAAACATCAGTACTCAGTTGGATAACTGGGAGCAGGAAAGGGTACAGGTTCTTGCTGTCTGCTCCTAATCCCTATGGGAAGTATAAATACAACTTATGATAAGATACTCTAAGCCCCCACCACCACCACCACCAAAAAATCTATTATTAAGAATAAGAGCCCTAAAATGAATTTATAAAAAATAAATCTAGTTTTATAAGGATGGTCATACTTATGAGTGCTATTAAGACAAAGTTCTGTTTATAACTGCAAAGCAAAAATAAAAAAGTATATACTACTCAGCTGCCTAATAATGGCAGAAAAGAAGATAATATATGTGACAGCTACTCACATCTGTGGTCTGAGATTCCATATACAGACTGAGAATCCTGGAGCCAAAAGTGTGAAATGCCTGGAGCCAAAAGTGATTCACATTTTGCCTTCTTTTGAATTTTGGAATAGTACCCACATATACATGGTGTATCTTGGAGATGAAATCCAAGTCTACATATGAAATTTATTTATGCATCATATATAACTTCACACAGTAGCCTGAAGGTAATTTTATACAATATTGTGAGCGTTCCTGAATTTTGACTGCAACCAGTCACCCATGAGGTTGGACATAAAATTTTCTACTTGGGGCATCATATCAGCACCCAAAAGCTTCAGATTTTGGAGTATTTCAAATATTAGACTTTCAGATTATGGATGCTTAACCTGTATAAGAAATACCTCCTTGTGACTAAAAATGGGTATTTAAAATTCTATAAACTTTCACCTAAGTAATCTAAGATGAACCACCCTAAATGCTTATCAATAATGGTACACCTATATTTTAAGACTCTGAGTAGCCTTGAAAAAAGATTTACAATGAAATAAAAAAAATCTCAAAAATAATTACAAATTTAAAAGAAGAAGTGTATATAACAAGTTCACACATCAAAGGACTACTTTAAAATTTTTACATATGGATATGCAGTATATGCATGAAAATGTTTCTGGAAGCAAAAATAAAAACTCTAGTTAAATAAGGAAAAGACAAAAGGATACTGGGAAAAATGCAGAAAGAGATTTTCTTTTCACTTTTTCATATTTTTTTTTAAATGTGAATTTTTTAAAATGAAGAATATTTTTTAATATTTTTCATGAACCAAAACAGAAAGATTGAGGGAAAATGCAATCTAGAATTCTAGTTTTTCTACTGCTGTCTTAAGAAGGTTGGCATCACACTCTTAAGTACTTCAAAAGAAAACAAAAAGGATTAAAAATCAACTCTAAACTGTAATGATCTCTGTAATATGATAAGTACAGAAAAAAATGACAAACTATCAAACATCTCATTTTGGAAATAATTCAAATGTCAACATAGGATAAAACAAATTACAATGCTATAAATGTGTGTGTGTGTATGTGTGTATATATATATATATATACACACATACACACACACACATATAGTCCCCTTTTGATGACATATATACTAAGTTCAATCCTTTTTTAAAATTTTTCAGTATACATTATTAACTATAGTCACTATCTTGTACAATGAATCTCCAGAATGTATTCATTCTAATTGAAATTTGGTACCCTTTGCCCAAAATATGATCCCCTTCTCTCAACAGTCCAATTTCTTTGAATTCAACTTTTTTTAGATAAACAAATAAGATTATGCATCATTTGTCTTTCAGTTCATCTTTATATAATGGGACAATAAACACTTCAGTGGAAATACATAAAGTTTATTCTTAACCACGTTAAATGTAATTTTGGCACTCTTTCTAATCAAAAAATTGTTTAACAGTTTATTAAAGAGTTTGTCAAAGGAAGATAATTATAAAGATACCATTATTTAACAAAATGGTATATTGCCCCTTAAAACTCACTTAAATTCCACTTTCCATATCTGAACCTTTTCACAGAACAAAAAAGGGAAAGAATATTAAAAAACTAGTCAAGTTCATTTTGATTATCAAGCAGTCTGAAAATTTCTTAGGAAAATTAGAATGTATCTACTCAATTGCTTATCCAAATAAGCAGAATATGCTAACATTAGCAAAACTAAAATAAGCAATGACTAGACACATAGAGTCAGTCAAAGCCCGAGAGATTCATTACATTGTAATCTTATTAACTGATATGCAAGTTTAAGTAAATGTGGACATTTTCTGGGTCCACAGTAACTACAAACATTGTCTACCACACTATGAAAACTCAAAATTAAATCACTCATTAAAAATAATATCAGAAGTAATTAAAGAGGGGAGAAAATCATATTGTACTGTAAGATGTAAGGGGAAACTGAACTATGTTTTAACTCCCTGTAAATTTTTTTCTTTCAATAAAAGGGGAAAAAATAAAGGAATAACACCATCTAGATACTGCATCTTTTTGTACTGACCTTGGTTCTCCTCTTATGTCCCATGGTTATGTCCAAATCTAGTATGTCTACGCCAATTTTCCAAAGTACACTCAAATGACTCTAGAATATCATCTCTCAGAAGGAATCTCAAGCTCTTAATACTAAACCAATTCACTAGAAACTGTTCCTCTTCCTCCATTTCCTTACTTATGTGACATGAACCACTATTTATGTAGGGATAAATTACACCATAACTACTTCCTGGTTCCTCTTTGTCTTTAACCTACATCTAAACACTCTTTAATTCTATCTCTTCAATATTCTTCAAAACTTCCCCCATCCTTCCATAGCTTTAATTTAAGTTCTCAACATCTTTACATCATTAACAGTATCCTGAATCTTGGTTTACCCCTTGGACTCTTGATTTCCAAACCAATGTCCCCAGTGGGTCCCTGCTTTTCTAAAATAAAAATGATCAAAACATTCCTTTCTCTGAACATCAAAAGCCTTCCTGACCAAAATCCCATGCACAAGCTTTGTGCTCCATATCCCAGCTACACCAAACAACTCAGTATTAGAAAGTATGATGTAAATGTCTGTAGAGAAGACTCAGAGTCGACATGTTCATTTACTCTGCTTCTCCCAAAATATACTAAAAAGATATACCAAGTTTTTTTTAAGGACCTAAAACCATAAGTACAAAAAACAAGATAGCATGTCGATCTGGACCCTGAGAAAAGACAAGTGGTAAGTAACTTAGCAAACTAAAAAACCAAAGTTTAGACAGGAAAAAAAAAAAAAGGAAGGGAGAAAGACAAGGCAGAAAGGAGCCTGATTTACATTACTAAACCTCCAAAAGACTACAGAATTGGTGGTACTGGGCATTTTGAGGAGTATCTGTGTGTTTGGGAGGATAAGAGTGTAGTGCAGTGCAGTGGCGTATCTTGAGTTCAGGGCACTCCTTCAATTTGCCAATCCCCAACATATCTGAATATATTAACCTATTTAAATATTGCCCCAAGGAGCCAGGGATATAGCTCAGCGGTGCCCGTCTGGCAAACTCAAGGTCCTGAGTTCAATTCACAGTACCAAAATAAATAAATAAATATTGTCCCAAAATGTGCCACCCTGGATGGACCACCCCCTCTGTCTCCACGCCATCCCACCCCCCAGCTGCAACAATGGTGAAGGAAAGGTATTATTAACAAGGGTTTCTAAAGGTGTTTTAAAAAGCAATTTGATACCAAGATTTCACCCACATCCACAAGCAGAAAAGGCCTCCCCTTTCAGCAGGCTTGACTTGCTGCTTACTTTTTGATAAAATCAGAGTATTTCAAGACTGGAAAATGTCAAGTAATCTAAAACAGGGGTATGACAAAAAACGAGATCGTGTTACCCAGTAAGAGGCAAGAGACTGAAAGATCTTTCATTGAGGAAAGATGTGAAAATATGAACAAACTGTTTTCCGACAAAACATAAACTAGATGGGGGAGGGGGGTGTCTTGCTATTTCGCCCAGGCGAGCCTTTAACTCAGGATCCTCCTGCCTTGGCCTCCCAAGTAGTTACTACTGCCTACCAAAGATCATTCTAAAGGACAAATCCATAATCTGCAAATTTCCCACAAATAATTACCCTCTTCACCCAGCTTTTTAGAGCCTACTCCTAAATTTACACAGAAAAAATATTGACAGCACTTGAAGTTGGGAGATATACCATTCTTCCCTCTGAGGACAAGGTTAGCAGACTGACTGTGGAAGCAGCAGTGACCTGTTAAATACAAAGTTCCCAGCACACATGCATAAAACAGTTCCCAAGTCCTGCAGTGGAAACAATCAGAGTGCCATCTTCAATTCTTCTAGCAGAACTAGAGCACATGTCTGATAGGATGGCCTAGACCTGAAGTCAGCCTGAGGGGCAGGGGATACAAAAGCACAACCACCACTGAGTTCAAGACTACTGTGTACTCTTGGCGTGTACTCATTTTCCTACTTTTAGTTGTCCACACTCACTTTGCAGAGCAGATTTCTTTTCCCACCTTTAGTAAATATAAAACCTTGACAGCATTTGTGTCAGGACTGGCCTGAGAGTGACCTGAGAGAGACTTGGGCTGCCCACTATAAACAATGGACTCTCCATTACTGGCTATAACTTGCCCCTGGGAAACAAGAAGCAAGGACAATAAAAAACTTAATGTGAGGCGAAGGTCACCCTGAAGTCCCCTGACACCAGCTCTGTGTACTAACCTGTGCTGATTGCCCTTACAACAAACATTTAATCCAGATTCTTTGAGAGTCTTTAAAACTGTACCCCCAAGCTTAAAACCTGTATACATATACACTCAGTCCCCCCTTTTAGGTATTTGCTGATTCCTATGATGTCAGCCTGCCTGTACAAAGAGGAATAAAATCTGATTGTCCCCACAGCTTCAGTCTTCAGGTGGTTCCTCACACATCGTTATTACAATTTGCACTTCCATTCTCCAATTCTTTAAGATAAGAAGACCCTAGAAACTACCTCTGGAAATAGACCCCTGAATCATACAACCTGGTAACACTTCTTTTGTGCATTTCAAATTTTTCATAATAGTAAGTAAATAAATAAAAGCAGGCAATCAAGGATCAATGGATATTATAGGGTCAGAGGTCTGTAGACAGGAAAAAAGTAAAATAGGTGCTCTATTAGGCCATCGAAGTAATCCTGACTAGAAGGAGTTAAAAAAACCTTTACTAGAGCAATTCCTCTGGAAAATAGGTCAAGGACAAAGGTAGAGAGAGAAGAACCAGATAAAGAAAGGCACTGAATGGCCTTGGGACTTGCACCAAGAGACCACAGGGAGAAAGAGCTGACAGGCAGGACACAGAGAAAAAGCCAAGGGCAAAAATGATAAGCTGTCCCGGCCTCCAACACAATAGAGGAAAAGGGGGTGGGGTGGGGT